GAACTAAACATTCTGATCAGAATTGCATCCTGTGTACTAATGGATGCAAACATTTTACAAGCCGTACGTTTATTTGAACGAATAAAACGGACCGTTTTGCAAATTTCGAAATATCCGCCAAACTGTTTCAACATTTGCTCGAGTATCTTTAAACTTGAACTACATTGGGAGACTTCTATCGGATTTCCGTCGCGATTTCCTATTGAAATCCACCGTTTATCTCGCTGCGATTTACCTCCCGCTATTGTCAAACTGCGACGCGTTGCACCGCGACGACACAAAGAGATTGAAGCGAAGAAACTTTGCCATTTATTCCGTCCATTGAAAATATCAGCCGTGGGAAGCCATGCTCCTCGGGGAAGTTTCTCGCGAGTATAGACGCGCACTAAAAAGATCGACACGCGTAACGTCGAAGGAATCACGCGGCAGAGTCGGAAATGAGAGTCGAACGGTGGAGGAGAAGCAGGGAGAAGTTTCGGAAACGACAGCCGGGGCCGTTCGGAGGAAAAAAGAATGACGCGTAGAATCGCATTTATCCTGCGGGAAGCGCAAAACTCTCAGCCAAAGTAAACAAATCGGGCCACATCAGTGAGGGAATCAGTTTGTTTCCTCTGTTTGCTCTTGTTTCTATTAAATGGATGATAACTACATGCATACATACATGCATGTGTACAAGCAGAAACGTACCATTATTAACTAAACGAAACGTCAGGCAAGATTATTTCATCAGAATTACTCAATGATTTCTTTTTATCTTCCTCAACGAGCTACTTTCAATAAAATTACCTTTGCATGCTTTTTGCAAGTTACTTCATCATCCCTTATTAGATTCATACTTATGGAAGGATGTTACTACATCTTTCAGCAAGCTTCTTCACTCAACGCCGGGCAATTTCGACCAATCCATCTTCTTACCTGTCCTTTTGGTGTCTGATCTATGTAGTTTGATTGTCCACGACGATGATTTTCCCATTTTCACCGACGACGACAACGACGAGGAAAAACTTGCCGTGTCGGAATTAAAACGGCCGGCCAGAAGATGGGACGGGTCGGGGGAGAAGGGCAAACGAATAATTGAATGGTGTCTGGGATCAACACAGTTGAGGAATACAAAGAGAAATTAAAGTTGCAATGGCGGCTGACTGTCGGACAGGCAGACGACGACGCGACGTTCGTCTTTTATTTGCGACGATGCGATTAAAGGGGTCGGGCGGTGGTGAAATTGGAGGGAATGGAAGTGTGCGAATGATACGGAATGGCGTAAAGTTTGTCGAACTTCTTTTGTGATTCTGAGAGAACCGTTTCGGACTGGGAAGTATTTGTCCTTTGAATGATGGATAGAAATGTTCCTTTTTGTCAATAACTTTTTGCTAATTTTCGTGGTACTCTGATCTTCGTAAATGAGTAACAACAATTTTATGCTTAGAACAAGAATTTGTTAAAATTCAAGTAAAAAAGAATCTTAGTAACTCTCTTACGATTAATGAATTTTCCAAATGGACAGGAACAGATGGAAGTAATATTAACAATTGATTATGGGG